CGCGATTGAGATGTTTTGTTGTTGGATGTAATAATGAACATAGCAGTCGTCTTTTACTCCTGACATCTGAGCCGCTGAAGACGCAGATGATTAACATTACTTTCATTTCTGAAAGGAATGCGCCGATCCCTGATCTGCCTAAATGCGTTTAAGTTCGCGCGAATCATTCATGATCAAGCTTCATCTACAGAAGAAGTGAGTACAAGGGTTATTTATGAATCTTTGCAAATCGCCTTTCCTAATAATGTGCTAATTAGCAAGCGATGACCCCTTTAATGCTCATTGGTTCAGACAACTGTGATGCTGCGTTTTTATCTGGTTCCATGTGATTATGTATTTAAATTATGCATGAATGCTCCCAAACACTATGACAATGCGATCTCTGTGTGAGATGTGATTGTTGTCATATTTCTATAAAAATCTAAAATACATGTTTGTATTAAAGTAAAAATGGATGATAAATACACCATTTGGATGGAATTAAATTGCAAGCACTTTGAGTGTCTTGTTCATCATATTTATTTTCATATAAAAGCAACAGAACTGAAATCAGTTTCTTGAAGTGCCCTTTTGCATCATCATCTCGTGCCCACACGGAGGCGCCATCATCATGCAAAGAATCAGCACAAAGGATCATGGGAGCCCAAAGGGTCCATCAGTTGTACCCTTCGAAATCCTTCATTCCGAAGGGCCCTTTGAAGTGGCCAGTTTTGAGCACTTCGGTTTCAACGACCCTTCAATATGGCGGCCATGATTGTTTTCACTCCGAAGTGCCCTTCGGAGGGCGATATATCCCGTTTGGAACGCGCCGAGTATGTCCCAAGGCTTGCCTACTCTTCTACTACACACTCAAAAGTGTGTACTTTTTCTTCACCAAAAGTATAAGTAGGCATATTGAGATGCAGCACAAGGCTCTCTCAGCCAATTTTAAGCAACTGCAGCCCCTGACCTAGGCGGCTGGTCTCATTTTGCTCTCGCGGTACTTTGATGGCACATGTGATCGTAAGGCGGCTGCAGCGCCGATCGGACAAATGTTCTATCCAGAATGCATTGCTTTTGTCAGGCGGCAGCCGATCTTTGCGGCGCTGCATGAAGTCGAAGTAGAACAAGCCTATTCTGTCAACACAGAAGACAAACCAATGCGCCGCTGTCCCTGCATGATAGGCCAGTCCTTGTCACAAAAACAAAAAAAACACATTACATTGGGCTTCTTACCTGGCATTACTCCCGATCGCACAACCACATTTGGAGTATTCTATTATATGGTTAAACACAATGTTTGTGCCGTGCCTGCAATAACATATCTTATGAATTTACTTAAAGGGACAGTTCACCCAAAAATGAAATTCTGTTATCATTTGCTCACCCTCAAGTTGTTCCAAATCTGTATGAGTTTCTTTCTCCTTAAGATATGTGGGTAATCGAAGTTTTTGGCCCATTGACTTCCATAGAATTTTTTTTCCCCCATTGTGGGTCAGGGGCGGAGCTAGAGGTGGCCAGGGCGTGGCCACCACTGACCTAAGCTTGGCCACCCCACTCACAACTGCAGTTTTTGTCACTTTTTTTCTTGACAAGAAGTGCATTTATTAAGACGCGCAACCGCCGTATCTCTTTACGACCACATCAAACGGGAGACTTTTCAGACGCGCACTTCAACATCGCCTCAGTATGGAATCATTTTTGTGTCTTTATTATTCAATCAAACATTCTATGTTTGAGAGTAAAACTAATTATGTTGTAATTAAAAAATAAAAGATTGCAAAAAAAGTCTTCTTAAGGCTCAAAAATAAAGAAAGTGATAACAGAATTATTTGCAGTGCGTAAAAATCTTTGAAAATCTTTGTTTTTCTTTGTGCACTTCAAACACTTTTCATCGCGATACCACAAAGCTCTCTTTTCTGCTGTCTTTTTTTTGCGGGTCTAAAACTTTTGTTTGCGAGTTGAAAAGTTTTGCTTGCGCGTGAAGCTGTCTTTCAGTGGGCGGTCTCTACCCACCAGGATGAAAGGCCTTTTACTATTGGTCACTCTCGATCGAAGTCACAGGTTGACCACGCCCACTACGTTTCCCCAGAATCCCCGCCACTGCCGCCGCAGTCTGACAGAAGAGCGAGCGAGGTTGTATCATGGCGAGCAACTAAACACGACCCCTTTTAATACATGTTGTTTACTGGGTACGATAACTAACTTAACATCTTAAACTCAGTCACAAGTTAACTTAATTATTCTCTCCTCTCATGCTCTCCCATCTAAATACGTAACGTTAGCTAAGCCCGTTGTAGATTTGATTAGCCAACAGTTTAGCTAGCTGCCAGAGCCCCCAATAGTAAAGCGTCAGGCCAATATTTTCAGAGATTATAGATTATTATAGCTCCAGTGAAGTAAGGTGAGTAACGCACATCAAATCACTAGCCAATTTGGCGGGTTATGATTCATAAATGATGACCGTATGCACGCAAGTCTATTCGCGGCACCCAACAGCTCTAGTTTGCCATTCAAGTTTTCTAAAATACGATTTGGGACCGATGTCTGTACATTCTGACTTCACTCTCCTCTCATGCTCTCCCATCTAAATACGTAACGTTAGCTAAGCCCGTTGTAGATTTGATTAGCCAACAGTATAGCTAGCTGCCAGAGCCCCCAATAGTAAAGCGTCAGGCCAATATTTTCAGAGATTATAGATTATTATAGCTCCAGTGAAGTAAGGTGAGTAACTCACATCAAATCACTAGCCAATTTGGCGGGTTATGATTAATAAATTATGACCGTATGCACGCTCAAGTCTATTCGCAGCACCCAACAGCTCTAGTTTGCCATTCAAAGTTTTCTAAAATACGATTTGGGACCGATGTCTGTGACTACTCCCTACAGCCTAGAATTCTATCAGTAGAACATCACATATTTCTTCTCTGTTTGCAGGAAGAAGATTTGGTGTTGATAGAGACGACAACATCTTCAAGGCAAAACCTTAGACATGATGCAACATCATCTAATGTTGCAGTCCCCCTCAGGAGATACACAAGCAAAAGCCAAATTGAACATTGCCAATTATCAATTCCTATTTTACAAAATTTGCCTTGCATACATTTTTGTCTTTAATGTGTAGGCACTTGAAGCCCAGTGTCCAATATGCACAGGAACATTTCCAGTGTCAGAAGTAGAACTGCCATGCCAGCCTTTGTGGAGAAAGGTAATGGTAATAGTGACTCACATTTAATGCACAAGTAAAAGTGAGCACAGTGCACTTATACTAAACATTATACTATATATTTTTCTCATTAAGTTGTAAAGTACAAATGAAAATGAAACCATTTAAATGCATAAAATAGCTCATTTTACATTCTGGCATTTATGTGCTGTTGACTTTTTCACTTTCTCATATACCACTATCTCATATACCACTATCTGCATGCCTCATCCATGAGTATGCAATGATGGAGAACAAGTTTTAAGGGGTTTTAAGAACCAGAACCAGATGACTGAGCAATAAAGCTATAGTGAGCCCCTTTATTAAAATACCTGGAGGTGAGGAATAATACGAAAATGGTCATATTCACTCAGTATTACTTGAGCTAATTCACAAATATCTCAACTACAATTAAGTAGAAATTAATTGTATTCAGTTGTGTTTTAGGTACTAAAACAGTCCAGTGCTTTACAGTGAAACACATTTTTTTTAATTGGAATAATGAATATTTCTGTGCCACCCCAGACTGGTTGCTGGCCGCTCCCAGGTGAAAACATCCTGGCTCCGCCGCTGTTGTGGGTGAACTACCCCTTTAATCGTGAGCCCAGTGTTTGGGATGGTGTTTAAAGGGATTGGGAAATCCTCCGCCGGGTGCGTCACAGTGACGTCAGCGCTGGCGTCTTCAGCTCGCGCGGACAGAGACGGCCATATTTGAGCGGAGCGTCCCGCGCGGTTTGTACGGAGCGGCCAGTCGCCCGGTCACCTGACTTTCACGCGCATTTAACGGTCACACACGACGCAGAAATGCCCCGCGGAATAAGCCTCTAGTTCAACCACATGATATCCTTTGGCCCCGCGCTGGAGTCCTCGCGTAAAATGGAGGTGCAGAGCGTCAGCAGTGAGGTATGTCGCGGATATGATCGCGTCCACCGGCCGTTATTGATTATCGGTGACGTTAACGACAGCTCTGCGTGTTTTCGGTGACCGCAGCGTTAGCTCGAGCTGTTCGCATGTGCTGATCATGAATCCTTCACAACATCGCAGCAAACGACGCTCGCGTCAGTGACGGCGTGTGTAAACACGGGCAGGTTTAGTGTGATGAGGATGATTAGCCTGCGCCTGTTGATCGGATTCACCTATGAGTCATGACTAGAGCGCTCGCACAGCGGACCTCAGTGAAAACTCTCTAACGCCGCTGAGTAATATCTGCTAGTTACACACTGATCGAGCTGTCAACTATCTGTACTCGCAATCAGACAAATGATATTACCGTTTCATCCGTCTGTCTGGCGTCCATTCTGTTCAACTAACTATTATTATTACTTCTTTATTTCAGACCCTTAGGTCCATATCATAAAAAAATACTACTACTAATAACTAAAAATCAGTATTGTTTGTTTTCAGTAGATGTTTTTATTTTTTATTATTATTAATATCTTGTGCTGGTTAGTGTTTCTGTAACGCAGATCAGTGCGCAATGTAAGCAGGGCAGTAGTTAAAGTTTTTATTTTAATGACTAGTTAAAACGTAGAAGTGTTTTTATTAAGCAGTTCTGTATTCTGAACAGAAGGTTGCAGGACAATGGTCTCAGGAACTGCTAGGTGTGTAAGTGCTGTCGTGTTGTGCAGTGGTTTTAGTGTTGCTCTTACTGAAGTATCCATGCACACATGATTTCTGCTTTCTTATTCATAGTTATGTGACGCTGTGCTTTACTGTGTTTGTTCTGTTAATATCTGTCAGTGTCCAGCAGTGTGTTGTTGATGACTGATGCCGATATCTTAAAGTGCTTTTTCATGATCATCACATTTCCATTTGTATTTCAACTTCAGCACTGTTCAGCATGGTGCAATAACAATTTAGGGTTTGGGCCAGCTATAATGTATAGTCATGGTGATTAGTGATCGACCGATATATTGTAAAATGCTTAAATATCCGGAAAAATATTGGTAAATCGATATGTCGGTCGATCTCTAGTTAATTCATTCACAGCATTTGCAATTTGATAATTAGCCTAGACTAAGCCATATTGTGATTTTTATTTATTTTTTGTGATGGAGCTCTTTCAGAGTTATTCAGCTTTAAAGGAGTGATATGATGTTGCTAAAAAGAACATTATTTGTGTATTTGGTGTAATGAAATGTGTTTATGCGGTTTAAGGTTAAAAAAACACATTATTTTCCACATACTGTACATTGTATTGTACTGTATTGTTTCTCCTCTATGCCCCGCCTTTCTGAGACTCGTTGATTTTTACAAAGCTCATCGGTCTGAAAAGCGAGGTGTGCTGTGATTGGCCAGCTATCCAGTGCGTTATGATTGGCCGAATACATCAAGCGCGTGACGAAAATGTTATTGTAGTCTACTCTCCCAGGATCAGGAAACAGTCCTCCATAAGCTGCATAACATCTTAACATCTTCCAAAAAAGCCGGCGGCTTGAGTGAGCGGAGGAATAGGAATATCTCTTTGGATTTGAGACTTTAGTCTTTGCAACTTTACAGATCTTCTTTATGCACCAAGAGCTTGTAACACTCCAAAGAGAAAGGAAAAATTGAAATCGCATCATATGACCCCTTTAAAATCAAGCTGAAGCCACTGCCAGCTGATTGAGTATGAGGTCTCTGCAGAACAAACGTGTGCATTTTCAAACTAAATCATGCAATGAAAATGACCTGACCCCAACCCCTAAGCAGATCAGGTAACGCGTAGGGCTGCTCGATCATGGCAAAAATCATAATCACGATTATTTTGGTCGATATTGTAAGCACGATTATGAGTGGGCCACATGACCGAAACTTTATATGAGTGATTTATTTAAAGATAGCGCTATATATCAAATATGTATTTTGTGTTAATAAGGTTGCAATGTCATCTACGTTCTAGAGACCAGCGAAATTTCACAATCCTCAATACCACAGCAGAATACTAGGGTAACTCATATTAGTAAAAAACAAAAGTCCTCAAATTATTTTAAAAAAATTTAACGGTCAGTAATAGGGATGCTCCGATCCGCCTTTTTCACCTCCATTCCGATACCGATTCCGATACCTAGGGTTCAGTATTGGCCGATACCGATCCGATACCAGTGAAGTTTTTTTTTCCCCCATTTAAATAAACGTAGAATTTATATATCTCTGTGTGTGGAACTGATAAACATTCTTTCACAATCTACTAAATACAGACTACTTCATTATAAAGAAAAATAAACAATAAATATGAAA